TGTATTTGCAATCTTAGTATCAGTCTGAAGAATTGAAGTGTCCAAATACTGAGGACTACTGAAGTCAAACAGAAAATGATGATCTGAGAAACAGAACTTTATTTACCAAGCCAAGTATTTGACAATTTTGGAAATCAGGTAAATGACATTTAAATTTTAATTTTGATAAAAATTAGGCCTTTTTTTCCAGTTCAGGTTTCTCGAGAATTGTCTCCTAGATATATGTATGAGACTCCTAACACTGTGTTACACAAGTAGACACAAGAATGCATGCAGAGGTGATCTGACATACTGGCTACTAAGTTTCAGGTTCATTTTCACCATAATGACAGGAGAGGGATGCCAAACTGACAGAGTGGAAAAAAAACTAAAACCCTAATATTGCAATAGACTGGTCAACTTGGGGACAGTTTGTTAGGTTGTAATGATTCAGTGACAATCATTTTTTGTTAATTTCCCTGCCGTGATTATGAGGCTATAAGAAAAAGATACAGTTAATTACAGATTTATTAAGTGTATGATCTTCTTTAAAAGTTACTGGCATTTAAGCACAAATTAAGTAAATTTTTAAATAACAAAAACATCATGATTGACATCAGCAAGATTTCTCCAAAGTACAGTTAGCTGGGTGAAGGACCATATAATAGTTACTATCTCTTCCTTTATATTTCAACTCCTTACCTCATGTTTGCCTGCTACAGGCTAGTGGCAACACATCACATATCTAAGGACAATTTTTATCCCTGACAGAAGCCATATCTTACATACAACTGGGTAGAGTAATTATATGAGAGCTATCTTTAAAATTGCTGACTTGGGAGTTGCTGACTATGCATGGCTGAGAGCTCTGCATAAGTGAAGCCCCACAGCATTTACCTTATTTCTCAGCTGAATTTTGCAGCCCACACTGAGTTCTGCGTTGCTACAGCTCAGCTGTTTCCAGAGTTCAATATGGCTCATTAAGGTCTCCCCAACCTGCTGCCATGGTGAAGTAACATAACTGGAAAAAAATAGGTCCTTGAACTAGGATTCTCTAATTCAAGCATGATTTTCATGCAGTTTACATATCTTGTTATTGAGGTGCTTTATTAAAACCTTTGTTAATCTGCATGAACAGATAAAATTTCCCAAAGAAGGCTGTTGTGTTTTTTTTTTCCCACAAGACATCTATGAGAAACAGAGTTTTAAAAGTCCTTTTTAATTCCTAATGATACTCAATGAGACTTAAAAAATATTTTAATTAGTACTGGCCATCACTCACTATTATTAAAAATTTAACAAAAAATGTAGACTACCACCTGGTCTCACATATGGGAAGTTTCTGTAGTAGAAATTATAAAGGCAAATATATTCTCTCTACTGAGTATGGATACACAATTAATTTCAGTTTAAAAAAAAAAAAAAATTAATATTTATTCTGTAATGTAGCTCAGACATCATTCAATATTTTTCCTAAATAAAGTACACGACATTATGAGGTGCAAGGATGGACTATGCTACAAAATGTCCAAGCTACCAAGGGTTCAAGTTAGGACTGTAAGGGTCTCCCAACAGCAGAGGCCCAAATGCAGCATGGTGCTGCACCTAACCTGCTGTTACCAGTATTCTGGACTCCAGATAACTGATCACAACCACACTAACTTCACGAAGATACTTAATAATGCCTACTTTAGCATTAGAATTATCCAGAGGTTTGAGTTTTGACCATTCATTAAAAGCTTACACCTTTTCCAAGATGATTTGTTGCTATAGTTCACAAAATTTCATTACATTCCTAAACGCAAAAGGGCAATACTAATGCATGCCTTACAAACTAATAAAATTTTATTACTATTTTTCAAGGTCAAATATGTCGTGTGACTTCTGTTTTAAATGGAATGGCAGTGTGAAAATTAAACTGAAGAGTAGAAATGTCTAGTTTAAGGAATAAGCATACTGTCCTGGAACAGCCCAACAGAAGAATTAGTAAGACTAATTCATGAATCAATTACTCTGCAAAATTCATTTTATGACATTGATCTACAAAATTTTAAACCAAAATGTATATTTTACTTGGGAGAAAAAATGATCTCAAAGACTTCATTATTTCAAGAATATTCCTATCACATCTTAGCTATTAGTATAAAGGCAGAAAAGTCAAGAGATATCAACACACTCTGCCAAACTGCCCTATCAATCACAGAAAAAAAAGAAGTTTAACTTGAACTCAGTCACACCTTCAGTCTTTTTTACTCTTAAATTTGTCCTAATTAGAAGCATTTGCTTTAACTGCCAGCATAAAGCAATAATGTAACTGTTTCTCTTCCTATATAAACCTAATTTCTTACAAACAAACGTAAAACTCACAAAGCATAGAATTTCAGAAGTAGAAGTAACAAACTTTACGACTACTTTAATTTGCTTTCTATTCAGTTTTTCTCCCTGATATCGAACAAATATTTACTATTTGGTACATGGAGTTCTCATCCTCTGCGATTCCCTACCATTTTAACAACAAAATTCCAGAGAACTACAGAGCAGTCTGGGTTTTCTCCCCATTAGATCAGAGAACGACGACTGGCAAGGTGACTATTCCCAACCTGTTACAAGTTTACTGGCAGGGCAGATAACAGCAGCAGCACACAGCTCTACAGCTTTGAAGGCCAGCGAGAATGACCTTTCCTCTCAGTACAGGAAAGGAGAATTTTTAATCGCTGAGTGCAGTCAGTCTCACTTCTACTGCAAAGAGGTAGTAATGCCCCAAACAATGGTGAGAGGTGATCACACTGTCCTACCACCTAGGGAAAGGAGACTGACATGCAATTTTATGTTCAAAGTGCTACTTCATGCTCTTTAAAGAACTCTACGTTATGACACAGTACAGAAATTTGAAACAGTATCCCCAAAGTCAGCATGTCTCAGCAATACAAAACCAGGGAAATTCAGGGGAAAAAAGCACGCAAATCAGGTATTTCTTTTAAATAAAAGATCTCTATCATCACATATAACTTATTCAAGGCTTAAATTTATATGACCTTCAGTGGCAGGGTGACATTCACATACAATTACACATAGTGCTAAATACCTTATAACTGAGGGTGACATGATTTACTAATTTGGGCCATTTGTAGTACAAGATCAGTGCCAACATGATTCTTGATATGGCTTGCAAGCCAGGTCAGTTAGATAACTTTAACATTGATAGCTTAAAATAAAATCACATTTTAAAATATGCTTATCTACACAGCCAAATGTTCTTCCCAATAAAATGTCAAGGAAAATATCACAGTGGTATATGGAAAACTAAAACAGAAGGAATTACAGGACATTTGTATTGTCAACTCATTGGTCTTGCTAGTTCTTATAAATATTTTGGGTGCTCTCATGACTGTCCTACAGCTTCGGTGGTTATACTCTGGGCCTCTGATACACACTATATTTAACCTTACACAAGACGTATTTCCAGATTAAGACCTAAAAATGTCCTTTTTTTTAAGGATCTGTGTTTCAGACTGATCTTAATGGACTTACTATGCCTAAGAAAAATGCTTGTGATCAGTAGACAGCATACTTCTAAAGCCTGGTATTTTAACTAGTGAAAACTCTATCTTTTTTTAAAATGCTAGTTACAATGCAAAACTTTTTTGTTGAGCCCCATTACTAAGGAGGCAGATAATAAACTCCCCCTACCAACTTATTGGGTAGGGGTATGGCAGTCTTTCCAGGGCAATATGCATGTTTATTGTGATTAATCAAGTAGAAGTTTGAAAAAAAAAAAAAAAAAGATAATTTGGCATCTTCTTCCTTTACTGAACAACAACCCACAATATTGTCCTGCACAGACTGATAATTTTTTAGATTATCACAGCCAAAAAACCCAATAAAGTAAGCCTTCAGTGACACAAGTAGTTATGCTGATGTTGAAGTCTGATTCTGGTCCATTCTGTTCAATATGCTATAAAGCTCCTATCCTATTTTGTGCCACCTCTTAGACTGCAGTTCATAATGCAGATTCCTTCAAGTCTTTCTTAGCCCAAATTTAGTGGAAAGGTGGGAATTACGATCCACTCCATCTTACCCTGCAGACTCCAAAGCTCTATCTTCATATCTGCCCCTATATACTATGCCAAATATAGCTCTGGCATTCTTCCAATACTAGTTCAGCTGTGAAATCAAGAAGGTGCTTCTCCTTACACAGACGTGATGTTAGTCAACAATCATCTGTCATTTGCCTGTATTCTTGTGTATTACCCAAATCATGACTCATAATCAAGATAGCACAGGTCGAAAAGTCAATTGCCTGTTTCAAATAGGTCTCTGCTGCTGAGAAATGTCATTTGTCAAAGCAGACTCTCAGTCTAATTACTTACAGTGAAATGACTACATTCCGAAAATCCTGTACCAGGTGGTGACTAATCAAGAGTTCAAACAAGGGTGATGGAAGAGATCATATAATTTTGGAGAACATAAACAGTCTCCTTACAGATTATATCATGCATCTGACTTAGTATAATTCTATTGCTTTTAAAATGTTTTAACTCATTGCTGTTCAAACCTATATATAACAGGAACAACAGTCTCTCAAACTGTCATTTAATATTTTTCTCAATTCTCAGTCACTAATTTTCAAAAATAGAGCAGATCTTCCTTTATGAAACATGAAAATGCAAAGTACTTAAAATTTTGAACTAGTTCAATAATGTTGCTAAGCACTTAATTGGAAAAAACAACAGCTTGATAAATAGATTCCTGCAAAAGGCTGAGCTTAAAGAAACTATTTCTAATTCGGCTTTTTGCAACCTTCCTATCCAGGAAAGTATTTAAACCTCTGCGTTGTTTTCCCTTATACAAATTTTTGCTATTAATCTTTACTCTGATGTTAAGCTCTTATAGTAGCTAAGGGAAGACAATAATCATGCTGTGGTAAGTAAACAGAGTACTTTATGCTTAAAAATATAAATCTATACCTTCTAGAACATTACAGTTACATTGATTATATAAAGGATTATTTGATGATTTACCTGGTCTTGAGGAAGGAACTCTTGCTATCTCTAGGGAACAAGGTTTTTTGGTCACTGCTATGTCTATCGAATCACAATGACTGCTGTCATTTTCTGAAGGAACTGCATCCAGAGGCACAGAGGGTATTGCTTCCAATGCATAACCCCTCTTCTTTGAATAAGATTCCTGAAATGCAAAAATTTAAGCAGGTAAGAGAGATATTTCTCAGATGACACAGGAAAAGAACCAGGGTCAATAACTCTAGCTAGTAGGGTTTAAAATTCAGCAAATTAAATACCACCTTCTGTTGAAATCCAAATTGTTATAGACTGGAAGAATTACTTGCATTCTAGAAGACAACATTTCTTGTTTCTTTACATTTTTGTGTAATATAATGCTTGTTTAGTTTAGAGAAAAACTTTATTCATCAAACTTGGTATTTAGTGAAAGATGTTTAATGGTCTTGCCATACCTGCTTTGCTAGGTTCTAATTCAGGGGACGTCTCTTTTTTTTTTTTTTTCCAATTATATCTCATGAGAGCGACAATTACATTAACCACTGCAATTACTTTCTCTTCAGGGATGGTTTTGCAGTATGTTTATGTTATATATAAGAAAACTAAAAATATGCTTTCTCCATTAGGATAGCAGAATCCCAGTTTGTGAATGAAGACGAAATACTGTTCTACATTTGAGCAAAATAATGATGAAAGGTCCCTTAACAGTGATATATATAGAAAATTAGCAAATGTTGAGGGAGGGAAAAAAGGAATTCAGTGTTTTGCTGTTACAGTAAACTGTTCAATCCAGCAGATTGTCTCTGCCTTAGAATTGAATAAGAATATACAGCTTCATCAAAGTTTCTTGATTTGTGATTTATTTTTTTTTAATCCCAGCAGAAAGTAATTGCTTAGGCAAAGACATGTTTCCACTTCTTTCATGCATTAGATATATGGAGGCCTTGGAAAGTCAAGCATCAGACATAAATATGATATAATAAAAAACAAATGGCAAGAAAGCACCCTGACAGTTATATAATATCATAGCCCTACTCAGAAAATGATGAAAGAATGTGATGACTAGGAAAAAATCTGAAAGAACAATTTCCTCACCAAGAACTTATACTACCTAAGTAAACTATGGCTGTAGGTAACGGTGACTTTTTAGGTAGACAATTTATACCGTTAGCAGATCATTCCAAAACTGAATTTTTTTAGGCTTTTTTTTTTTTTTTTTTTTCTGGTCAGCTGATCTTTATATGAGAATTCATAGTCTGGTAATAATTCAAGGCCTCTTGAAGGATAGGGTTGAGATGGCAGCAACAGGAGCTTCACTTCAAAATTCTACTTGAAGACTACAGTTGAGACAGATTTGAATTTTAAACTAAACCACCACAACTAAAGAATTCAAAAATCAATACTGGAAATAGTGGACAGGGGAAAAATCATACATAATAAAATAAACAGAATACTATCAATCATTTGTAATTAAAAATAACCAGTATGCACTGTCAAACAATGCAAGATTGCTGCTCAGCATTCAAAAAACATGTCTAAAAGAGGAACGTGATTGTGTCTCTACCTCTTTTACCCTTTCTGGTTTATATCTAATCAGAGTATGAGCTCTTTGCAGTAGTAATCCTACAGATATAAACTAATAGTAACTAATTTTAGCTAGTAGACTTTAAAGACGTAACAAGGAATTACAAAAGTTTGTAAGTGGCCTTCCTGCAGCTCCAATACAACTTTTTTTACTTAGGCCATTTCACTCCTTAAATTGAAAGATAATTATTTGGAGGCATCAAAGCAACTGAAGTGCAATGGCAGGACAAAAGGAGTCCTTCCTACCTTGAAATAAAAAGAAATTCCTACATTGCCCACTTAAATTTGCTCTAAAAAAATAGAGGCAAAAAATTATTTACCAAAGCCACGACTAGAACAGTAGATTTCAATTTAATCCTTGTACTCTTCTAGAAATTTTCATTTCAGTCAGAATGCCAAAACCTTAATAATAGTAAATCTGCCTAGAGAAGCACATGAAGAAACACTGCAGTCTTAAAATTGTCACCAAACACCAAAGTGAAACTCTTCTCAGCTCCTGGATTTGGCTACATTAAAAAAAAACTTTAAAAATTATATACAAAACATTAGAAGATAAACTGGATCATACTTCATGTCACCCAATGTTCTCTCTGTAAAGGCAGCCAACAGTGCTGACCTAGAGAACAGTGGAACCAGCAAGGGACCAGGATAAGCAAGTAGTAGTGCTTCTCATCCTGCAGTGCTTCAAGGGTCTGACATTTCGTAATCAAGAGAAGCTGACTTCGTTTTGCATGTCTGCAGAGGTCAATGAAACTAAGACGATCCCAGGGGAGGCAAGAAACTGGAACGGTTTATTGGACTTACAAGTTCACTTTTAAAGGGTCTAAGGTTTACATATTCAACAGGGGGTTGGCATTATTACAATTTATTACAAATAGGGGATTTTTGGGGATGACATAAGGGGAAAACCCGGGTTCATAAATTGGGAGTCTTAGCAGTTACCTCATGGGGAAAACCCTACTTTTATCTTAGAGGATTTTACAAAGGGGAACAGGGATTTGGTTCTACAGGATGCAGGGATTCAGGGAACACAAAGGGAGAGATAAGGTACAGTCTGCTTTCTGCAGAGGTTTGATGAAATTAAGGTGTGACTCTCTGGGCTGGGGCAGGGCAATCCACATCTGATGATATCTTGATTGTTTCTCAAACTGAGGTTTTTTCCCCAACTCTCGTAGCCCATGGGTTTCTGCAAAGTCCACTCAAATCCCCCTCTGCAGATATCAAATTCTGGGATCCGTCTACCAATCCAACTTTCTAAAATGTTGCTAAATTACCTTCTCAAGCTGCCTTTATAGCTCATGTCCCTTTTTTCAGTTTGCATGTACCCCATTTTGGTTTGAGCTATCTCACCAAGTTTGACATAGCTAATTCTAATACTTTAGAAGGCAATGAATAGTTGTTCTTTACTTATCCTCTCTATTTGATTTCACACATCTTTATCCACTTGCCTTGTCCCCTCCTTTAAGGAATGAGAAATACTAACTTACACACCCAGGATTTTGACCACCCCTGTCACTGCTCAGTTTTCAGTGATGTGACAAGGATCAGATTTTCACATGGCATTGAAGATGAGGGCTCACCGAGTAGGCATACTGATATAACTATGTTCCCTCTTTCATATTCTACTCCTTTCCTAATTGCTTTTAACGTTCAGTTTGGTTTTCTGAACATTACTAAACATTCTGTAATTAACAGTGCACGAATATAAATGTCAGTGAAGAATAAGTAAAAATGATGGGGTTACTGAGAAAATGGCTGGAATGTAAATTACAGAAAAGTAAATTCTTCCTAAATATCTCCCTAATAAAGCAAATATGATAATAGTATGCCCAGCAGTCAGAGTCAAAAAAGAATTAAGACTTTAACAAGTCTGAAATTCTATCAAGCAATTAGGTGAAGACAACAAGCCTTAATTAAAAATTCCATATGTAGCAAATTCTCTTTGCTGCAGAAAAGCATTGTAAAGTCTTCAGATTGTTGCACTGTGTTTTCCATTTTGCTGGTCCTGAGCATTTCTAGAAATTTTTAGGATCTAAATTATTTCAATTGAGATGTTAGCAGATCTTTAGTCCTGCAATCAAAATAATCTGAGTTTAATTTTTGTTTTAAAAATAGAGATTATTCCATCTCAAATTTCTGTCAACTATTCCAAAATGTTGAAAGTGAGACACGTAACTGACTACCACTATCAAGTCAGAATTAGTCCTTATTTGAAACTGCACCTTCATAAAAGTAATGTAGATTCAAATAAGTATTTTTTTGTGGAAAGGATAAAAATACATACACAATAGAAGTAAGAAAAAAAAGAGAAGATAGAGAGATAGAGAGTGGGTGAGTCACTGGGATAGCATTACAGAACAGTCACCCATATTGATGAAATCTAAAGTACATTTTTGTCTTGTAGAAAGAAACAGCAACGTGACAGTGAAGTTGCAGAGCACATGCCAGGGACACACTATGGGCCTTGTTCATGGGCCTCCGAGTTTTGTCTGAGCATATGCTTGACAATATAGTACCTAGGAAATGTTATCTGAAACCTTAACAGCACTAAAAGATTGTTTATCAGCGGGAAAGAATTTGCTTCTAAAATATCTATATGGCCATTGCAAAAGGTTATACACAATTGTGAAACAATATGCCATAACATGACTAAATCTTTAAAAACTACACGATGCTGAGTTAGGCCTTTTTCCCCACATTTTTGCTAGGTTTCTAGTTACTCTTGCTTCTGCCTTCTAAATACTGTTGCATTTCTTTTAAGAATCAAACTGAATAATGTATGCTTAAGGATTGAGATATAAGAAGTATATACAAATTTGTGTTTGTATGAGCTACGAATAAAATGATAGAGCCTCAGAAGGTATCCCATCTGAACAGACATTCTGAGAAGAAGATGACAGAATTTGTACTTAACAGACAATTTTCAATTCTTCCATCCCCTTTACTATAGAAATCAGGTCAGTCGAAGCTTTAATACTTCCCTGGAACATGGGACAACACACCAGAGTCAGACATGACTTTCTTCTTAAAGGAGGAATAATCTCATAAATGTAGAAGGAAGAATGCAATATATCTGCCAACTTTATAATTCTTTCATTTATGTAGACAATGAAGAACTCCACTAAATTCTGACATACCCCTTGAGATCCTTTTCCCCTGGCTTGCTGCATGTCAGAGGACCAGCATGAAGAATCGAAGTGACTCTTCTTCTACCATAGTGGGATAAATTCTGCCCAGTTCTTCTTAAGAGAGTACTGCGATAATTATTAATTAAAACTTTGGAGAATTATTGATTCTAAACACTTCATCAAGGCAAAACTGATGATTACAATGAGAGTGAGCAATGAATACTATATTTATCCCATTTATGTCATAGAAACATAGAATTATAGAATGGTTTGGGTTAGAAGGAACCTTTAAACAAACTCTACTCCAGCCCCCTAGCAATGAGCAGGATGTCTTCAAGCAGACCAGATTACTCAGTCCCATCCAATCTGATCTTGAATGTTTTCACATATGTGGCATCTACCACCTCTCCTGGGCAACCTGTTGGAGTGCTTCACCATGCTCATCATAAAAAATTTCTTCCTTGCATCCAGTGTATTTGCATCAAACATACTTCTTGATATCTGTAAACAGACTAATGTATAATCTTCTTGAATTGGAACGCTTCACACTGAAAAATTAATGATAAGTAACTGAAGGTTGCTGAGAGTAATGAAGAATTCAAGAAAGTTCTGACCAGTGACTGAAGACAATTCGGATAGTTTTTTTTGACATGCAGCAAGTGGTGGGGGATCTGCCTGAACCTCAAGGGTGTTGTGCAAGTTTTCCACAATACTGAACTATGCAAAACCAACTGAAAATATTTCCCATGTCACAATAACCCAAACCCACAAAGAGATGGTGAAATACTTATTTTGACTTCATTTTCAGTGAAAGATATCAGAAATATTACTATATTTTATGGCTAAAAAACCCACATTTATCTATTACTAATAAATTAACCAAAGAAGGTTTCACGGGATCATGTAATTAAAATCATTTTTCCATGAGTCAAACTATGATAAATGTTCATTGTTATGACAGCTAGAAATACCTGAATGTGTGATTTGTCATAGAACAGATAATAAGGTTCATGATATATTACAGAACCTGGAAAAACACCGATAATCTCACTTAAGGGTAATGACACTGGAGGATCTACTCTGGTCTTCACAGAGTATTTAAAGTACAGATTTTAAAACAGTATTCTCTTTTACCCTCTCACCAAACATCTGAAATTATGTGTTTGCTGTTGTAGGAATAATATATATTCAGAGTTACCTGAAATAATCATTTTCCTTTAGCCCTTAAACAGCCTTTGTGAATTTCAGTAAGTCTTTCGCAGAGTTGAGAAAAACATTTATTTTAAAAATCATGCTAGATTTGTTGTCTTGTGTATTTACTTAGAAATGTAAATAGGATACGTCATTTTTCAGAAACCGTTCAAAATCTAGATTTGCTTTTTCAAACTCTTTTTGAGAAAAAAAAGGGCATTATTTACACAGCACTCCAAATGTAGGTTTATCTTCTTTTTTCAAATGTATATTTTCACATACCCTGTTTCATATGAAAATTCTACAGACATCTATCCCTGAAAGCTAAGGGTTCCTACAAAGTCTTACAACATAAAACTCACTAATGTAGCCTAAACTATAAATGTCTGAAAACACAGGTAAATTCTGAGCATAATGAATGATGCCTAATTATGTCTAAATCATATACGTTATTTAGGAATAATATTGAATGATGTCTGAGTTACATTACAGAATAAATACTTTTCTTTTTTTTTACTGGAGTTAATTGCATGTCCATACCCAGCAGAGAGAATATATCTGCCTTTATAATTTCTACTGCAGAAACCAGTAAGCGAGACCAGGTGGTAGTCTACATTTTTGCTAAATTTTTAATAATAGTGAGTGATGGCCAGTACTGTTAACCTCTGCAGCAGAAAAACATGGCTATAGTTTAGGTGGAGTTTTCATAATTCTAACTGGCAGATATTCAGCATTTAAAATGAAGTTGGATTCTTTTAGTCATGTTACATGCAGCTTTCCCATGCACACAAGGCTCAGGCCATGAAAAAGTGCATATGCTTCCTCTAATAAATAACTCGTTGTGACAAGGATATACTAAAAGTGTACATGATCTGGTTCATGCAAATGCTAATGGTTGCGTGTGGCAATACAGTATAATACAATAACTGGTTTAATAAATGATTCTTAGTCTAGTCGAACAAATTACAACTACAAACTAGAAAGTAATTTCCAGGTTAAATATTCTCCCTTTTTCTCCCATTGTTTTCATGAAAAATGTTAAACAAAACAATCATGTCTTGTTTGAATATCAAGTTACAGGAAAATGTCTATTTAAAATAAAGGCTATTATATTAAAAAAGATAAAATGAGCTGAAACCTAAGCTCCATGGAAACAATATTTCTCTGCAAGTTGTTTATGCTCTGGTGACTAGATTTTTAAACACACACACACAGAGCTCTAACTGAAACAGCAAACATGAAGTAAGAATACTTCCTTACGTTATAAGGGCCCAAACCATGGAAAATGTCAGACATTGAGAAACTTTAAAGTGGAGTCAATATTTACTAGACAGTAAATGCAGAAAACAATTAATGTACTACTCTATATTAAGCAGACTGGCCAAAACTTTTTCATATTTTACAGCTTAATTTCTATCAATTACTGTGCCAGTAAATGAAAAATGTATGGCTTGCTGTGGAGGGGAGAGGGGAATTGAATACACCTAAGTAGATCTTGAAGCGAAACACAACATCTGTGTGAATAGTAACCCTACAACTGCAAACTGACTTGATCAGAGGACAGACAGCAACACTAAAATGAGACGTTATGGAAGACATTTTTCTTGAAAAGAAAGATTTAACATCAGTGTGTTAATCCACTATCTATTATGAAAAATCTATGCATTTTTATTCTATATCTGCTTATGCATCTTGTTCTGAAGTCATGTGAATTGACATATCTGCACAAGAGAAACAAAACTTATACCGCACACAATGGACTCGACAGAAGTTACAAATAAAAATTTCATATTTTAGGAAAGGGAATGTCCTGTGTTTAAAAGGTTTTGGCACTGAGAAATAAAAATTTCATTATGTTTGGTAGAAAAGTTATTATTGCAATAGCATAAGCCAAGAAGAAATCTCTCCTTCCCATGCTCCCACAGTAAAACTGAAAGAACAAAAAAAGCTTTTTTCAAAATATTGAAGTAATTGAGAGTCATTTTATCACAAACTAAAAACCTTGCTGTGAATCATACTTTTATCTGTTACCCAACTGAAGAGAAAAACAAGATACAAAATCAATGGGAAAAGAATTCTAAATTGTTCTTTAAATATCCCAGGATGCATGCAAAGTTTGTAGAAGTTACTTCCTAGTTAAATAGAACCAAATAAACTTTGTCTGCAGTATGTATGGTATTTCAGCAGTGTGAGAACTGAGCCTTAACAGTAAGAGACAATCAGAGGGCAAGTAACTTCACATTTTAAGTTAGAATTGGTGCATAAAAAGAGTAAAATAAATTATTCCATGACCACAGGAGAAATATGTACAACAGCAGTAGAAAAAAGTTAACAGAAAGAAACACACTAACACTAAGAAACACACTACTTCCTTATGGCTTTTGAAACAAGAAATTCCATTTTTTATGTCAGAGCTCTACTGCTTTAATTGTTACTATAATAATTTCTGTGGTGTGATAATCTACTTATTCATTGGAAATATTCAGCCTTAGCTACTGTAAAATGAAAACAGAATGTGAAGATTATATAAAATGGAACACATAAGAATTATAAGGGAACAAAAAACACATCTTCACTGAAATTCTTACTTAAGAAACTTTCTATACGTTTACTGCAAGATTCCAGTTTTGGAACAACTATCACAGAATCATGTGTCTATTTGATGAGAATTAAGAGGTCTAGCTCCAGATTTGCAGTCACACTAGCTGTATGTTATACTTTTACTACAGGTGTTCTCTATTAATACTGTGTGACCTTCCTTCATATGTGAACAAACTTCCATCTCAGTGTTCCACAAAAAAAAAAAAAAAAGGTAAAAAGTCTTTGCCTGATGATTCTATTGCTCTAAGTTCTGATTCAACTGATTTCTTATATTTCAACAAATTAATAACAAAATTTCAAAATAGCAATTTAAGTGCTAAAGGGTAACAAACACTCAAGTAACTTGCAAACTTAAGATGCCTTCATAATTTCACAATGAAGAAACCACGATGTTGAGTAAAAAAAAAAATTTAACTGGAAAGCCTGATGTCATGTGAAATCACCCAGAGCCACACAACAGGAAACACTTGGTAGTTAATATTTCTTTCTTGGTCAAAATGAGACTCTAGCCACTTAAAATCCAAACCACGGAGTGTCTGCAGTTCTTCTTTGATCATACAGTCCTGATAAGAGATAACTGTCCTTGGGAGAAAGACATTAAGATTATTATCCTTAAGAGGAAGCTCAAAAATTGTTCATGTACCTTAAAATAGAACATCTGAAAGAAATAAAAAAAGATACACTCAGTCTATCCACTTTGAAAATGGGTGGAAAGGAGCAAAGGAAAACCTGCTTTGCCACCTGTGTACCCTTTGCAAGTACCCTGGTGCTTAATTTGCACACAAATTCTGCTCAAAAACTAGGCATGTAGTCAAACACATTCCTCTACTTCATGCTTTGCACTGGCTGGCTTGCAGGGGCATCCTGTTTAACAGAAAAGATTAATCAATCAAACATCTTCAGAGATATGCACACTTGCTTATTTTAATGGCCAGTCTCTTCGCGAACGAAGAACCGGGGAAGGTCTTTCCACCTTCCAGCCTGCGCATTGGATTTTTTAGGTGAGACACAGTGTGCGCGGAACTGAGCCCACCCTTTAATCCTGAGGTTCATCTGCCGGGGCCAAGCACACTTGGACAGTGGCAGTGAGGTCCTCAGGATGTAGATGGATTGCCTTACAGGGCTAACGAGCTCCATCTGCCCGGGGAGTGTCCTAACCGGGAATCGAACCCAGATCTCAGCGTTGACAACGCTGTGGTTTAGCCACTGCACCACTAGGGACACTTGCTTATTAATGCAAGGAGCAAAAG